GTAGGGCACAGCCCCTGGGGACTTATGAGAGGACAGCAGCACCACAGGCCAGGGAAGCATCTGGGGGGGGGGGGAGGCGCTGGGAGGGCTTGAGGCAGGCAAAGAAATGTCATCCTGACTAAATTTCAGGATTTCCTTACCAGTGCCTTCCCCAGAGATCAGGGTAACCAATTTCCTAAAACTAGGTATGAATTCAAATTGTGGGCCAAGCAATACCCATTAACTCTCACCTTAAGGGTTTGGACACCAGCCAGGGTTCCTTCTGCATAGATACTACTGAACTCTGAAATGCAGAATGTGGATCTCCTCTGGAAAAGATCACTCCTAGAGTCTCACACAGCCTGGGCTGACCCTCCATCGAATCAAGGCAGCAGACGTTTGTCTACTGGGTAGTATGCTCAAGAGGATAAGGAGACTACAGAGGCTTCAATTCCAGTGGAGAAGAGGTAGGCAGAAAACTGAGATACATGCACACATGGTTATAACGCAGGATCAAAGTATGAAAAATGGCACAGATGTCACAATGTGCCCCTGGAAGGAATCAGCAAAGGCTTCTCGAAGGCAGCAACCACCAGGCTCTGAAGGACAGGGATATTGCCACAGGAAGGAGTAAGACAGGCAAGAGAAGGAGGAATCTTCAAGGAATGTAAGAAGTTATTCCAACTGGTCAGAGCACAGGACGCAAATAACACACAACATGAAACTAGAAAAGCAGTTTGGGGTGACATTAATAGTGGGTGCCCACGAGGCTGGTTTATTCCATGCAACTCCAGATTTCTGAGGCAAAAAAAAAAAGGACTGAATCAGGCAGGTAGTATATAAAGGGGAAAACTCACCTAGATCTTATGGACAAGAGTGGGTATGAAGTGAGGGTATTAACAGATAAGAAGACTAGATAAAAATGGGTAGGAAGAACCAAAGCCTACAATTTGGACCCAAATGTTAGAGAAAATAGTGATGATGCTTTTAGGGAAGACAGTCGTTAGGAAACACTGGCATGGCAGCCAGAATGACCAGATGGGAAACCCTACTGAGTTCTTAGCATAGTCATCTTGGTCTCCATTCCATTGGGGGGGTGGGGGGGAGGGGAAGAAGGGAGGAAAACAGTAGGACCAGGGGCCTTTGCTTATGCTGGTTTCTCTGCCTGGAGGTTTATGTGCTGATTCTAATGCAGCTCAGAAAACTTCTGAAAATCCTTCCTTCACCCTCCCAGACAGGATCAAACCATCACATGTTTTCATAAGTGCTCCTCTCTGTCATTATCCTTATCTCAATTATACTCATCCATTTAATTTTGTGATCTTTAAATTAATGTTGTGTCTCTATCACCAGGCTGTGAGCTCCTAATAGAGAGTCCTCTATCCCTATACAGCAGGTTTCAATGAAATCTGTGGAAAAAAAGACAGGAAGGAGGAGACTGTCTAGACTGGCGTGAGGAGAGTGTGTGGGACTCTAAAAATCACAGCTTACAAGACAGGGCTGAAGCAATGGACAAATGAGCTGGACGAGAAGCCCTGTGGTGAGATGGAGGTCTCTAAACATCTGAAGAGCTGCTGTGGGCGCACTGGATTAATGGCTCACTGTGTGCTCCTAGGGGGTAAGACCCAGGATTGATGAATAAAAGTTCCAGGGAGATAGCTCTCAGCTCAAGGTTGGAAGAGTTTTCACATGACCAGGGAAACTGAACTGTCTAGGCTGGAGCGAGTCCGCCACTAGACATGCTAGGTGTTAGAAAGGGGTGCACAGCTCCTTGGTGGGCTGTCAGAAGAAACTTGAACTAGAGATGCGTATTTATACTACAGGCATGTTTAAAGCCCCTACAGTCCTAACTGTACTCTCTGGCCCCTGCCCACCTAGGAGGCACTCATCTGCAAGGAAGAGCTTCCTCCAGCTCCCTCAGAGCAGGCAGCTACAGCAGACAGTTCCTTCCACCAGCAAGGGACAACCCTCTCCTTCCCTCCCCCACGCAGGGCTCATTTACACCCCCCACCCCACCCTCATAAAAGCTTCAGCTTTCAGCACTTCTGCCTCACCCAGGAAACCCCTTCCCTTCCCAGCTTTTGCTGCTCTTCAGCTTGTCTGTCACCCCCAGCTCTACCTTCACATCACTTGTCACCACTTATCGAAGAGTTAATTTTTCTTGTTCCTTTAATGCTCCCCTGTCTCTGCACCACTACTCTCCCCAGGCAGCAAAGACGAAGAAGGGTTTTTCCTAGAGAACACCCTGTCACAGGCACAAAGTCCACACATGGTTCTCACACTAACATGCATCAACAGCCAGCATCCGCGCCCACCCAAATAACACTCCCGTTGTATCTCTCAGAGGAAGACTTCTGTCTTTACCACATTGTTCACCCTGCCCTGGACATACTGGTGACAGCACCATTTCTCTGACAGCTGCTTGAAGTGTTCTGCGAATGTTTGCCATGGTCTGCAGTGAGGTGAGCTCATTCACTGAGAGCGAACGGAGAAACACAGAGCACTGGGCAGAGTGAGTTCATGACTGCTGACTGTCACATTAACAAAGTGGGACTTGAATTTTGCATCATTTCCCCCCTGTTCCTCCGTGCTGTTATAATAAGCACATTATTTTTTGACCTGTTGGGGAAAAACAGGTCCATCATCCCAGAAGGTTTGAGATGTACCGCCCTAGGCAGGACAACTTTTCTAAATGAAAAGAACACCAAGTCCTCTCTCCTGCCATACTAATTAATCCATTCCCCTGGGGAGTGAGGAAGGCTGCAGGGCCCAGTCCCAACAACAATGGGGAAGTTCATCTTTCCCTCTGACAGTAATTCATTCCCTCTTCCTCCCATAATGGGGCTCACCTCAGATTTGAGAAAAAGGAATCCCAAAAATAAATTTTAATGTTCCAGAGAGCAGCAACTGCTCTGATTTATAGAACAAGAACTATTTGGAGCCCCAGCCCCATCCCAGCTCAGAGTCTCACCATTTGTCTGCCAAGCCTACTGGCCTTCCCCTGAGCTCATCAGATCCTACCTTAGGCAGCTGGGAACACAAAAACTTCAGTGTTCACATGCCAAGGACATGAATATTTTAGCTCCCCTACAGTCACTGTCTTTTACTAAAGGCTTAAACTTTGTGTCTGATCACATTATTATCACACAGTATGAGCACACACAGTGGTAAGGACCTGAGTCTTACATAACCTTCCCTGCACCCAGGTCTTCAAGACTAGCACCACAGCTCACCGCTTTCCTGACCTCTCCCATCTGCCTAACATATCACATTCAAGGCCAAGTCCTGGCAGCTGGACACACCCCCAAACCCTGACTCTAAAACTGGTTTCCCCTAATGGTTGGTTGAATTTGACCTTAGTTGACTATTATGTCCCTGAAGATTCATCAGTTATTATTATGAGCCTCTTATCACAGCATTAATGACTTGTTCTTTTATCCACTCATCAGTCAGCAGTACACACAAGGACTAAACTGCCAGCAACAGCAGATAAGAAAAAGCCAGAGTGCCCTGGGGCATCCAGGCTGCTGGCGACAGACGGACATGCCCAAGAAAACGCACAACATGCCCGATCATGGATTTTCAATCAGAAGAGTTCTACAGGCTAAGTGAGTCTCTGCAACACTGTCCTGCTACCCAGCCCAGCTCTTCCCTAGGCCTGGAGGTCACCTCAATTTTTAATGTCTCTATTTCCTAGTGCAGACAATAACCTCGTTTCACATGAACCAAGGTATGATGAAACCAACATTAAAATGCATCAAAGAGCAATGGAAATCTGCTCTCCTAAAAGCAGGTGATGCAGTAAGGAAACTCAATTCTCTTCCCATTGGTGAATTTGAAGCAAGGTTTCAGTGAAAACCACACAAGAAATGACCAGATAATTGAACGGATCACTCAAAACAATGCAACAGGCCTTCCCTGGTGGCACAGCAGGTTAAAGCACAGCACTAAGAAGCTAAAGACACTTCCTCATGAGTTTGATCCCCGCCCGCCCCAGAGGTGACCCACATGGCGCAGCAGACCTCTCCTGACCCGCCCGCTGCTCCCCACTCTGTTTCTGGTCAATCTTCTCACCGTCCCTGCACCTCTGGCCTGTACCCCAGTTCTGTGTGAATAAATAGATCTTTTTTTAAAAAAAAAAATGATGCAATAACACAACCAACTCATAAATAGCTAAAAGCAACCACATGACTATAGAGGACAAGACAAAATAAAAGCGAAGGCCTCGACATGTACCTCTAATTAGTGGAAACATAGAGTATCTGCTGGGAATTCTGCTTTGCACAAAAAGTGAGATCTTCACCAATTCTCTGAAATCACGTTTCTAATTAGTACTATTATGGAAAACAAGTGATATGAGTGATCCTGGAAGAATAACTGCCAGGGTTTTTCAAAACCTGAATGCTCTTTTCCCTTTTCCCCTGTCTTTCTTGCTTCCCCTCAAAGCCACTTCACTGTCTGTAACTCTGAACCTCTCAGGATAATGCACTCATCAAAATTTTACCTGAGGGTCAACTTACATTGTTGGCAACCCCAGCTTCTACACCTCACCCAATTCCTATTTCCACCAAAACAAAGAAATTGTGGCACAGAGCTGGGTAGATACAGCATATTTCCAATTTCTGAGATTTCAATAGTTCCTGACAGATTCACTGCCCCTCGCATGGCACCACTGAAAAACTTCACCTGCTTCTCTAACCAAGTGACAAACCAGAGCAACTTTCTGGAGGGTTGAACAAGGAGGGTCTGCCACCTCCAGTTCTCATCTCCTCTTTGTGCCCACCTCCAGTGGCTTCTCTCCAGAAATAACTAAAAGCATGAGATCACCCACAGTGAGAAGACAGAGGCATGACACCTACAAGGTGCCTATTTATAGAAAGTGTTAACACTCCTCAAGAAAAGACACTAGAAATCTCCTTGGAAACGCCCAAGCCTGTGCTCCCTTCGGAGTTCTAGTCTGCGGATAACAGTGACTATGTAACTACCTTTAAAACAAAAACCTCGGTGTGAGAGGTACTTACGGTTTCCCACCAGGGATTCCTGCCAAGTTTGGCGGGATTGTAGGTACTCTCATGTGAGGGGGAGGATCAAACCCAACCTGGAAACAAAACAAGGCATTGTGAACACAGTTTACGCAAGGGAGGTGGCTTTGGGAACATCTACATGACGTTTCATGAGAAACGTACAGACTCGAGAAGCAAAATTAACAGGACTGGGGGCAGAGAGTTCTTCGCTGGGCACTGCGCTGGGCTGGCTGTATGGCCGGCAATATCTCCGGCCTCTCCTCTGTGAGTGCCAAAAGCAGTCCCCAGCTGTGAAAATCACACGTCAAATGTCACAAGGGGACAACATCAAATGTCACAAGGGGACAACATCTCCCTCGGTTTCATATCCCTGATCTAAGGAGACATGTGAGGATTCGGACATAGGTTCTTTGTTTTCTGTACCCAGATGACCTAATCAAGTCCCTTAGCTGCCCAGTTTGCTTGAAACTCTCTTCCCCCCAATGCACTTCTGACTAGTGCCACACAAGGGAAAAAGACAATGAACTTTAGTATCACCTCAAATGACCGGAGGTGATGTTATTAGAAGGGAGGAGAAACGCACGTGACATGTCCAACAGCCCACAGAAACAATAGAGGAACATTTATTTGCATTGGGTGATGACCTATTCACTTTTCCTGTCGCAATCAATGATCACACAGTTTTACCCTTCCTGTGCAGTTTTCTATCCTCCTGGTCAAAAATGAGGCAATATACACAACGCAGAAGGCTGGGCAAAGAAACCTGCTCCAAAGTTTCCCAGCCCTTTGGTCTTTCTGTCAGTTGAGTTACTTCTGACACCTAATTCATGCTATTGGGCCTGTGGAACCATGCAGGCCCAGTGAGAGAAAGTCATGCCTTCTCAAATATTTTTTCCTAAGAATTAAAGAAAAAAAAATACTGAAGGAAAACGAATGAAAAGGCTTCTGTGAGCTACTTGACTCATTTCATCACCCTCCAAAAAAAAAAAAAATTGACTTTGGTGGGAGAAAACCAGATGTCCCCTGGGCCGCGGAAGCAGCTCCTAACACTGCCTTTTTCATCCACCAAACAGTAGTACAAAAAGTGTTAGGCGCTGACTTCAGGAAGCCGCATGTTGAAAAAGGCAGTGTGGTGGGAACACAGCGCCTTTGTTGGGGCCCGCCCTGTGCCCCTCAGCTCGGCTCCTGGGGCCACTACCTCCCAGCCCAGGGCCAGGCACCTACCATCGGGGATCGCCCATAGGCCACCACGGCGGCGGCGGCCGCGGCGGCGCTCATCTGCGGGGAGATGTTGTGCAGGCCGGCGTAGGCGGCGCCGGGGCTGGTCAGCTCCCCGTTCATGCCCGCGTGGGGCACCATCCCGAAGGGTGCGGGGTACGGGCCGGGCACAGCCAGGGGCGTCCTCAGGCCTGCCGCTGCAAGGAAGCACAAACCCTCATGACTCAGCTGGGCGCTGAGGGCTGTCTTTGGTGCTGTTTATGACAGGGAGAGAGGAGGGAGAAGGCAAGCCCCCAGAGATACAGTCACTGGGAAGAAAAGACCTCAGAGAACCACTGCCCTGGCATCTCTTCCTTGGTACACCTGGCAGCACTGGGAAACCAGGGGAATCACAGAGGGCCAACGAGGCACCAGCTCTGCCTGTCTGCCTGACATCTCAAAGGGAGGCTTCTTGATCAAATGCAAGATTTTTCTTTCAGTCTCAACTTTGCATTCTCTGATATCAATTCCAAACAAAAACCAGATCCTGGGTTTATGTAAAATAAGCATAGGTTTAAGAGAAACATCCTGGTGCCTATTTGCTGTGAGGACAGTATTCCTCCTTTCCCCTTTACCAACGAGGAATTAAAATCTGAAAGTTATGAGCATATTTGTGGGCTGGAGTCTAAGTGAAACCCTCCCAATTTCTACTGGAGGAGAGACCACTGATGCCTGAGGGAGCTACCAGCAGAGATCAGTTGACTCACGTAAACGGGAAGCACGCTGGGCTGGTCTGGCCCGGCCTGTATTGGTCAATATTAGCAAACTCAGACACACCAGGACAGTTTGGTAAGGAGCTTACATTCTGAATAATTATCAGGAACTTTATTGAAGTTCCTAGGAGTTGGATTATTTGGAAATAAAAGACAAGCCAAATGTAAACAGTGAGAGATGGAGCAGGGTGCAGCTGCTGAAACCCAAGGACAACATCTGTTTCTTATCACCGCTTTTCAGAGATAAGGAGGGAAGCAAGCAGCGAGTGCATTTCATATTCATGGGGAGATTGCGTCATGAGGTGAACAGAGGATGAGTCAAGCGGGAAAGGAAAAGGCAAACCAAGCACTGGGAGAGGGGACGCTCTACCCGCTTGGTTCACAAGGGGGTCCATGGCTGGAGGCTTGCCGAGCCCTGGACGGAGGCCTGGAGTCGCACTGGTGCCCGGCGTTGGCATGTCACTCCGAGGCGTCGGTGTGCTGGATTTCAGAACAGGCGTGCTGGCTTTTTCATGCTGGTATCATTAAACAAATTAAATGAGTATTATTTTTAATCCAAGCCATATTACACAATTTATCACAACAGCAGCTGGGACACTGGGCACCTCCTAGCTACTCCCTCAGCCAATTTTCATAAATCCACACAATGTTGACAGCATTAACTTGTGAGCGAGAAATGTTGACCTTTCCTCTTCCTGCCAGAATTAAAACTCCAGCTAAAGACAGAGAACATGATCACACTTCTTCCTCCGCAGATTTTATTTTAAAAAGTATTTTTCCATCAGCCTTATGGACGTTGGATCTATGCCAAGGTAAGAGTGATGACTACCCGGAGAAAAGTTACCGGTCACTCAGAAACAACTGTCACCAGGAAGGTCTGGGCAGAAGGTCCTTTTCTAACCCCAACTTTCAGTAGTAGTGGGACAGAGACTCACAGGGAGATATCATAGACCATCAATTTGATGATAGGAGGAGACAAGGTCTCAGAGGCAAAAGCCCTTAAAACTGTCAGATTATTTTGTTGGAGAGATGTGCCTAACTGTAACCCTTTTGGAGATACCTGTCACCCACCGACCATTTTACTCACATAACCAGCATGGACCTACCAAAGCAGGGACCTTCAGGAGTCATGACAGTATCAGGTTTCCAGAGCACTTTTTCTGCTTCTCAACCTTTCATGTCCTTTAAATGTCTGAGCAGACCTTTCATATCTGAGCAGAGCTATGGGGTAGCTCCAGCTCTCTCTAGCCATGGATCTGACGAGCTGTGTAAGCTTACTAAGCTACTTGAACTTTCTGACCCAACAGTTAAATGGAATACTGTCTATGTGGCCTGCTTAAGAAATAAATGCAGGATTGCCCTGGCTTGGTTATTGCCAAGTTACAAGATGACACTTCCACAATGTGTACTGAATGACTAACAGCATGAAAGGGCTCTGAGGCTCTTTTCCGTTCTAGGCTTCTCCAGATGATGCCCTGTGAACGTCACCATTCTTGACCATCAGCCCAGTCACAATGCGATAGGCGACATCTTTCTAAAAGCAGATTAAATGGCCAACTTAAGAAAAGAGGACTTCTCAGAACCCAAGAAGTTACAACTGCTTGCCAACTGGCACTTCAGGGAGCCTGTGCTGGGAACATGTTCTCAGCATGTAGGCAAAGAACATGGAAGTTTGTACTTTCTCTCTACCTGTTGCCACAACTGACAACTGAGGGGGACAAAGTAAACACCGGATGGGAATGAAGAGCAGAAAAAGAGCCTCACTTTTAAACGCTTAAAAATATAATTCTCAAGCAGTAAAGATCTGATATTTTAAATACACTTAAGTTCCCTGGTCCACAAAGAATAATAAACTGCTAAAAAGGCACAAAACGGGACATATTACTCACCAAGCTCATTTCTTTGGATTTCAAAGAAGTGGAACTTCCTGAGGAGGCCGTGGAAGCTGGGCTGCTGGAAGCATCTTTCTTTAGCAGACGGTTTTTGTCGATTCCATTTTCCCTGGGTGAGTGGGCGGGGCTTGCTCGAGGAGAAGAAGGGTCCTCAACAAACATAAGCAAAGTTTTCATGATTTCACTGATAACGGATGGAACTTTCTTTTCCACACTCTATATCAAAAACCATTCTTCACATAAAAGGAGAATGCTGCAAAGTCTTGCATTCTGGGGTTGGGGGCTGTGCACCCTAACAACCTTGTTATAATTGGTGCTTACAAACACAACCATGAGGTTGTGAGAAAAAAATGGAGGTACAATCATATTCCTTCTCCTGCTCAAAAACTTCGCCTAGAGAGCACGGGAAGGGAGCACCACACACCCAAATTAGGAATCCAAACTGAGTGGAAAAGCATATATTTTCTTAAAGAAATACAAGTCCTTATCAGTGAAATGATTACTGTTTCATCTATGAACAGCATTTAGTTTTTAACGTAAAAATTCAAGAGATCAAAACACAGGACTCACAGGTCACAAGTCATTTTAACAATAAAGTTGATAAAGAGAATGGTTACCTCATTAGAAACATCCACAACTAGGTTATCATCACTTTTGTCACCATCACTGTCCTGGAGAAAAGAAATTTTAATGCCATTTTTTGAAGGGTTGGAAGCTCAGTTAGATTTCTACGTTTCTTCAGGGCAGACGGAAAAGACAAAGCTAGGCATGTCTGTGTGCTCCCTTTCAGACCACAGTCCAGGGAATTAAATCGTCTTCCCCCTTCTCATCTGACCTGGGTCACACAAATCCCCACAGAAATTTGGTTGCAGTCGCATAGGGTTACACAGTCACAATTTGCATACAGGTAATAGCAAATTGCATACACTGGACACACAGTAAGGGCTCACTAAAGGTCTGCAGCAACTGGGCCTCTCTTGTGATGTGAAATCCCAAATGTCCTGTATCAGCTCTTTTCCTACTATATTTCAAGTGAAGGACACAACTTCATGTCACTGCTTTTGTGTGGCCCCTTGATGATGGCAAACCCATCTGGTGTTCACAATCGCAATTAGGGAACAATTACATACTTGACTTAAACCATGTTCTTAGATACTGCAGATAGATAGATAGATAGATAGATAGATAGATAGATAGATAGATAGATAGATAGATAGATGATAGATAGATAGATAGATAGATAGATAGATAGAT